AATTGTAGATCCACACATATGGTGCATGTAGGAGGCTATTATTATTGGTGACGCAGGTGCATGCGGAAGAGAAGAACTGAACACAAAATATATTGAGGAGAAATATTCTGCTCTAATAATTACGCTTCGAAATACTAAAACCAAGGTTCGAAGAATGTTTACTGTGTCCGCAGAATGTGATGTAATTAACCCTGTACGTCTTTATTGAAAGCATGTTTCTATGCGACCAGAACACACACCTCACGTCAAGTTTTTCCCATAGTATAAAAATAATAAATGTTCCATTCAACCTGATGACATTCATAGTTTTGGTAAAGTGCCTACCACAGTTGCACAGTTTCTAAAATTATTTAATGCAAATCAGTGCACTGGACATTGTTTTAGGCGGTCTTTCGCTACGATATTATCAGACGCTGGAGCTACTTTAACAAATATTAAAAGACATGGTGGATAGAAAGGTTCAAAAGTAGCTGAAGGATAACTGAAAGATTCGGTGGAGTATAAATACAAAGTAGCTTGGATGAGCTTTCAAAACGAAAATTGTCCTTCAATTAAGGCCCATTCACAATGCAAACATAAACATAAGCATAAGATGTAAACATTAACATAAGCGATATACTGGAGGAACTATTCACAATGTCTAACATAAAAGTAAGCAAAATAAAAATTTCTATTGGCTGTGAGACATTGTAGTTAACTATTGGTTGAATGTGAGAATCGATTTCGACTGTGTCTATGGCCATATGGCTTTAGATCTTCTATCGACTTCACTCCTCTTTTGATTCTCGATTTTCAGTTAACGTACTGTGATTGGTTCATTTCTTATCTTACTTAAGCATAAGCACAGAAGCTTGAAGCTTGCATGTTTTTAAGTTAACATGTTACGGGTTGTTGACAATGCGTTCGTATGAGCGGGAATCCGCCTATGTACGTAGTCCTAACATTTATGTAAACGCCATGGTTATTTTACGTTTGCAATGTGAACGGGCCTTTAGATTTGAGACTACTTCAATTTCTGTTGAAACTCCCAGCACGAGTGCTCAGTGCACGGAAGACTTATCAGTTCCAGATATAACATTTCAGACTATATCAAATTGTGTTTTTAACACAAATGTTAACAATAAAGGTTGAAAACATTCTGTATTCGAAAAATAATAAATGTTTGCGAATATGCTAACAGTCATTTGTATATTGTCTTGTTTACTTGGCGTTGCCATCATAATTATCCTCTAAAATTCATTCTTGACCTAGACCACCAAAGCTGACTTTTGTGGCGTAAAAATACTGTAAAATACAGATTTGGAAGTAAGGATACAAAAAATATTTATTGTACATTATTTTTGCTTATGTGGACCTTTTAAGGGCATATTTTCCGACAATTGTTAAAGCCATAAACATGAAAAATAGTGTTTATTGTTCTATTTGGTGAAAAATAGAGTTGCTATGCAAGATAAACGAACTGTAACCCGATAAAATACTAAGTATTGAACGGAATTATATCGAACGTGTTACGAGTACGATAACCGAAATCATTTGCTCCCTTGGAACAGGCCTGTCATATTCGTATTAGATCTTTTTTAAGTATGTTAATAAAATAATATACGTAAATCAAAACTAAAATACATTGTAGAGTTACTGCCATTGTAAAAAAAGTATAACACATTCCATCTGTGTGCCCTGTTTTATTATGGACATTTGAAGCAGGCAATATTTACTTAAGATATGAAATCGAGACATTACATCATATTTTGAACGTTTTGGAGCCTAGTTTCTTTCGCTTCCATATATCCTTGCTCGTCGCCAAGTTTGAAGTAGTTTCCTGGTATACTATATTCACTCAGAGTGCTGAAAAGCAGATTAACTACGTAGCGTGGGTAGCACGTCACGAGATGCAATTAAAGACCTGGGTCAACGGTGGTTTCTCGGGAGGAGAAGAGAGGTTACTGACTCTTCCCGAGATCAAAAATAGAATTGGCGAATGGCGTGACCTACAAACATTAAGTTACATGTTTATCTTTACTCCTATTTGAATATTCCTCTGTCTTCTATTTACTTCAAGGTACTCCTTTAAGAAGATTATTTATGTGGTTAGATGATATTTGTCATAAAATAAGAGTTATGTCTGGTCTTCAGACTCGTTGAATACTCTAACATGCAGATATTAAGTACAGTGCTCTGAGTATCTTGACAGTTCCGAGGGGAAAATCATTTCATTTTGATCTTCTCTAGAAATGTTCGATGGCAGGCAATTAGTACGTTTTGTACGTGAAATAAGGTGTTTTACCTGTATAAGATAGGTGTCTTCAGAGTTTGCTAGTTTCTTCCTTCTCGTAGAACAATTTCATCCAAAGAGGCAAAGATGATTTGATGTACCAATAATGTACGAAACGAGTTGGAATGGGAATATTTTTCAAATGAAAACACAGCATTATTGAACATTAAACGTCATCATAGTTTTATTAATATTACCGGTCATAAATAACATGGTTTTTCTCATTAGAAATCAGTGCACAGATTTGTAAAATTTTCCTAAATATTTATGAAATGATTCTTCTTGTTTTACATAATTCTTTAACGCAAACGAAGGATATCTAATGACAGACTAGTGACATAAAAAAGTGCTACGGAGTGGGATATGTGGATATGCGATCCTGCCCACAAATCTCTGCCTGTGCCTGTAGGAATTTCTGGAACATCTTGGAATGATCGATAAGTTGACCCATCGCAAGGATATCTTGATTTGCTTGCCTTCTCAGGTTCCACTTTGGTCCTGAAAGAATCTAAAAGAATCTAGCTCCACTTCTAACCTGAATGAATCGGCTCAGATAGATTAATAATTTCGAAAACAGCTTCAAGAATTGAAGAAATGAAGATCGTGTCTACATTCAAAATATTTTCACATTTTCGGCAGCAGTTAATTATCATACAACTATGGGACATAAAATTACACTTTTTTGATCGGAACGCGAAGCGGCCTGCCTGTGCCAATTTTCTTCCTTTGCGTTAAAGAATTATTATATAAAACCAGACAAGAATCAATTGAAAAATATTCAGGAAAAATTTTACAAACCTGAGCACTGACTTCTAAAGAGAAAAAAATGAAAACTATGAGTGGTATTATAATAAAAATATGATGACATTTATTGTTGAATAATGCTGTGTTTGTTTCTAGGTCAGTAGACCTACAGGCAAAATCCTTGGGGTACTCCCAAAATTTTACTATGATCTATACTATTATTAATTTTACTATAACTATGATTTTACTATGAATTTTGCGTAGATCATCCCTTCTCTTCAGCCACCATGCATCATTGTAGCGAGAGGAAAGTGTACTTGACGGTAAGTGGGGGGTTCTCCTTCCTCCCGATAGGACCACGTTCCATATCGTTTTTGCAAAGCGCTACGTACTAGTCCTCCCCGAAACCGCTCCCCGAGTGACCGGAGGGTGCGCGGAGCGGCGCGTCCTCGTGCCAGGTCCTCAGCCGGGCCCTCGCACGTGCCTCAGAGGGGCAGGCGGCCATTGAGCGCGCGTCACGTGACCGCCGGCGCCGGCGCAGATTCCGCCCCCCCGTCCCCCCCCCCGCGACGCGACCGCTAAATTTAAGCGGCGGGTCGCGCCACGCGTTGCCTTGAATGAAGAAAGCAAAGAGGCTGCGAGGAGCAGATGGAACTCGCGAACAATGCGCACAGTACTGAGTGCGGTTCACTGTGTCGGGTTTGGGAGGAAAAAGTCCCAGGGTGAAACAAGTGGCGTAAAATTATACAGAGCACACATTGCTACTACGCATGTATATAAAAAAGTACGTTGCTTAGTGGCTGGCCGTATGTACAAATATTATTTTAATCAATTTAATCTATCTAAATGTGATAGTGACTTAAATTGCAAAATTTGAACAAATATTTTACCCAATCTTCCAGCAGATCTAGCAACTTTGTTAAATTTCCTCTTCCTTTTGAAAAGGCATTTTTTTAATAGGCGATAATGCAGATGCAGAATGCATTTTGAAAGATTGGTTCACTTCCACTTATGAAGCATAGTGAATTTACTTCTGAAGGATTTCCTTAAAATTCAATTAATTGCAATCCAATGCATGGCAATACAATACAAGTCATTGCTATTCATTCCTTGAAATTTCCTGAAATTTTGTGTTGTCCTTATTTCTGTTGAGCGAACCGATAGATTGCATTGAGACACGGAACACATTGTGTGATTATTTTTGAAAGGGTTGTACTCACTTTCGTGTAATCGTTTTGTCATTTCATGAGTCACATTTTAGAAATTCTTACCAACTTGATAGAATATGGCACGTTGATATGACGACAGAACTGAATGTTTCTTGAATTTTCGCTTGGAATACATCTGCAATGATTATTATTATTATTATTATTATTATTATTATTATTATTATTATTATTATTATTATTATTTAATCGTCACTAATCGCCCTGGTCGGAGTGACAATTTTTTAAACGAATTTAATAGTAAATTTAGTAGCCGCTATCTGCGCAGAAGAGGCTGCAGGCATAGTCGTATTTGTGACTGTCCATCACCTCATTATCTCCTATCACCTCATTATCAAAAATTCAAGGCGTAACAACCTTGTTATATCAAGGGATACAGTCGTGAAAAGCTGATTCCTAAAATACACACGGTAAACCTCTCCGGGACCACAGAATATAACGTGTGACGTGGTTGTAAATAATTATAATAATAACAACAATAACAATAATAACAATAATAACAGTAATAACGTAATAACGTAATAACAGTAATAACAGTAATAACAATAATAACGATGATGACGATGATGACGACGATGACGATGATGACGACGATGACGACGACGATGACGATGATGACGATGACGTTGATGACGATGATGATGAATTAGTAAAATTGGGCGGAAAGTTCTTTCCACGCGCTCGCCGCTTTTCCTCCTCGCGCCGTAGGCGCAGTGCCTGCGGCGCCGGAGGGCCTTGAGTTCCGCCGCCCCCTGTAGGTGGCGCGGCTGGCCCGCGGCCGCGCCGCGCAGCTCCGCCAGTTCGGCGGCGGACACCTCTGCCTCCGGAGCGTCTTCGCGCAGCATCCGCGCCCGCACACGCTCCCGCTCCGCACGCGCACGTAAGTCAGCTACGCGGCGCACGCGTGCGTCAACGCGTGCTGCGTGCGGCGGTGGGTTTGTCGCCTGCCGCGGTCGAGCTGCTCTTCGGTGACGGGACGCATGCGCCAGTTTCAGTGTTGACGAGAGTCGTCGCGAATCTTTTTGAGTTACGTAACTGATTAGAGAAGCAGGATGCCACCAGGAAATTGAATGTTGTATTTTTATTGACAGTCATTACTATAAGTCATGTCTGTAAACTCATATAGATTCAGTTTTACTCCTTTTTAAGAGGTTTGTTTTGTGTTTGGAAATTCATTGTTTTATCAGTTATTTGAATTACAAAATTTATTAGGTTTCAATATACATTATACTCTGTTTCATAACTTCTTTATTCATTTACAGGTGTAAAAAGAGGCTAATATTGGTCACTATTTTTTCTATAAACGTTTGTTAGAGATTCGTCAAGTGATCGCTTGATAAGTATTCAGTTTCTTTGCAAACATTAATCACTTCAATATGTTGGTTATTTCATTTACAATTTTATATTTAATGAATAGTAAAATCGAATTGTATGAGTAGAGTAGGGTGTTGTGTATAAATTCTGTATTGTGATTAGAGTAGACTGATAAAGGGAAAGTGCCTTTCACGTTTCTATAATTGTTTCTATATTTTCTATCATCACTTACTCTCTTATTGAACCATAACGTAAATTAAATACCAGTCGTAAAAGACAATATCGCATCATTGTCAGAAGGACAGGGGATGGAAGAAGGAAGAAAACATTGTAATAATTTTGGTGTAACTTGTTACATAAATGTGAGGTAGATGAGCCAAACGAAATAATCATCTTAAGCCGCTTATCTTAAAAGTAACATTATTTAATAATTGATTGACTTTTTCAAATTAACTCAAGTGTTGTCAGTATGATAAAAGTTTGAAGAGTTATTTTCTGTCTGAATAATGTACTAACATGCTCCCAATATTCTCTGTCAGCAAATTAAATTTTGAGAATTGATGACAGAAACGTATGACGTACACTCCGGGGAATTGGAGGTCGAAACATTGTTGTCACTACCGTTGCGACTGCAGAGCCAACGTTAAAGGGTGGTTGGCGGTCATGACAGTGAAGCACAATAGAATGCCGATATTTTCAAGGGTTTCTAGCGTTCTATGCTGTATAGTTTTACTTCTGAAACATTTCTTCAAAAAAATTAAATTTGAATGCTATATTTTGCCGTGCGCTGATTATGAGCCTGAAATGAGGCAAGGACATAGCGACTTTCATTTTCAAATGTGGTGTTGCAGATCGTTTCCCAAGATTCACCTGATATTGTTCGTAGTAAACCCTAATTATCAGAGTATTTGAGAGGTGTGAATGTCTTAATTATAAAACTTCAAATAAATTGAACGGTCAGTAAATACCGATTGTTTTTGGTTTCACAAAAATACAAAACCATTCATTATTGAAAATAGGTTATCATTAAAGTATAATACCTGATAGTTATTACTGAAATTAAAACAACAATTTTGGTACTGATACACTCTATATTAAATACAAGACATTTCCTAGAAAAATACAAAATGTATTGTTGTTTAATGAACGACCACAATATTATATTAATAACCAAACCATGACGATATTATTATATTTAGTTGTATATTAATGACCATAATGTTATTTGTTTGTACATGTTCTGAAGTGGGCATTTTTACATCCATCTGTATTCGAGACCATCATTCACGTTTATTTCCCTATTGATTAGGATAGAAAGCAAGTACGAGCAGAATTATACATAGAATCTAGGGTTGTATGGCTGGTTTAAGTTACATTAACGGATTACTAGGAAAATGAAATAAAAAATTAATCGACTTATCCGGAGAGATAATGATGGAGACGAAAGATAAAAAAGTGCTTGAGGAGCCAGAAGGATGGGAACAGTGTTTGTGGAGCTAGCACTCTGGAAGAGAACATACGTCACCAGGGTCCAACAACACCGCCCTTCGGAAATGTCGCGGGACAACAAGTGCCGTGTCGATTTGCGTAAGTGAGATGGATGGGGCAGGAACTGAAGGCCGGCGGGGCAAACCAGTCAAAAGCGGTTCTCGGCCGGGATGATGTAAGGGCTCTCTGCGACAGTGCGATTTTCTCCTCGATCGTCTGGCAGAAATTCAATTAGTGCATTCCAATTGATACTTATCGACTTTCCGAACATTGCTTTTGTAGTTTATTTCCTCGTAAATGCCTTATTTGGTACTCGTTTATTTTGGCCTTCTCCTTCACATTTCACAGTTGGTTTACGATTCCAGACACTTGATCTGACGATGAGAGAATATTTATTGTCATACTTTACGATAAGAAGATATGGAATGAGGGAAAATTATTTCATACAGCTCAAATAATGACACATATGTCTTTCACCGAACATGAACCATAACACATGGTTGAACGTTGGTTTCCAATCACCGATACTTTCAGCAGCACCACCTGGAGTAGATTAAGTGATGCAATTACTTTTATCTACTGGCAAAAATAGCATTGAGAGCAAAGCAAACTTGTGGGCATTTTAATTCCGTTTCTTTTCTCAAGTTCATTCATATCAATTGGAGAAGACCTTTTCTGTCAAAATATTTTTGTAATTTAGATGCTAGTACTGTCAAGAATACTAGCTCCTAAACGGACACACAAGCGGCCAGATAGACATGTGTGAAGAGCATTAACTCTTTCGGAGAAATAGTTCGATCGATGGGAACCATTTACGTCATCTTTTCGGTACGCATCTATTAACTACGCTAATTATTACACATGTATGGTGGGGATGGTGTTACGGTTAGCGTATCGGACAGTTATACCCAAGTTGGCGGGTTCAAACCCGATCCCCGTGGACTTTTAGGGCGAAAAACGTTCCGTCCTTTGGAGGGGAAGTAAATCCGGCTGTTCCATGAAGTAGATTTACTTGCATGTAATAGATCAAGCCTGAATGACGCCTCTGAGCTAAAACTTCCTCCTTTCTCCTGGATGAAAGGAACGTAGCGAAATTTGTGTGGTCAGACGGAAGAGCGGGCCTGATGGCCGGAGTCTCGCCAAGTAAAATAAGGCATTTATTCAAGATACGTCCTTTTCGCACCCTACTTTCAACAACTCACAAAATGTGTTTTTTCTTCGTTTGTATCGGAATAAAGGAGATTTTCTTATCAGCCAAAAACCACATAATTGATTATCATCGCATCTATATATGAGCTGAAAGTTTCTACAGCGTAACTTTAAAGTGTGATCATTTTGAACGTTTTACCTCAATGGGAGTTACGATGTTTGCATGGGAGGTGCGTCGGATATATCTCCGATCATCACAAATCACATATTGTCATGAAAGATATACACGTTCTCAGAGTTACACAAAACTAACTTATTTTGAAATTTAATGTCACCAGATTTGACGTTTTTACAATGCAAGTTATAATCGATCAACAAAAATGATGAACATTTAAAGTACCTCTCAAAGCCAAGCTATACACCAACAATGCATGTTGTGGAGATGCGTCGGTGGCAGGATTTGCGTCTAGCTACATAGCTATGTCGTGTTCAGACGCAGCCTGGAGGAGAATTGTAGCGGCCGGCTGCTCTGGTCGGTAGTTCTCCGCACAACACCAGCCGAATGTCGGATCAGAAACCTAACAAACGGGCCACGGAACGCGCGCAATCTTTTCTTTCTGTTCCTTTCCTAGGTTCACGTTTTTACTTACACAGATTTCCATTAACATGCAGTATACTACCACACATGACGGGAGACTAGTCGAGAGATTAGAGCTTGTGGCTGGGGCGGGGCTGAGGCTGGCGGTGCCCTGTTTGAGGGAGGTACCTGGTTGGGAAACCACGCAAGCTGGCATGTCACCACGGATCTCACTATCCGGCAGGGGAAGAACTCCACCTTCGCCGCGATAGAACTAGGCACTCCCCTTACGGGACTAATGCCCTCGGCAGTTGACGCGTCCAGAATCAATAGTCAGTCATTGGATGACGTGTTGAGGCAGTGGTTGTTGAAGAGGTGTGTGGGCTTGAAGCGCGCGTGGAAGTGCAGTTTCGCCCTGGGCTGCGCGCGCGCCTGCGCGCTTGGGGCGCGTGTGTTGGCGCTGGGGGCCACGGCGGCAAAGTTACGCCCACCGGCCGCGCGCGTTGCGTATGTACTTGGCGCTCCCGGCGGCGTCGCCCTTCGCTTGTTTTAACGTTCGCCGTCTGCGACTTCTCTTACGGGGGGCGTGGACCAGTGGGTGCGGTGAGGAGAGGGAAGGGGCGGGCGGGATAAACTGTTTTTAAAATAACCTCTTATATATCGTTATAAGAGTTATAATCATAATGATTTTAAAAATTTATATATATTCAAGTTGTATAAAATAACATACTTGCTATTCTTAAAGAAGGGAATGTATGCAACTACTTTAACCGGCCTGTGCATTCTTATACTAGAATCCTAAAACTACTCACCAGTACAAATGACAAAATTATGTTTAAGAAACTTTTATTAATTTGCTCCATTATGGAGCGTCTCAATCATTTGTACACCGTATGAAAGTCATTTAGATTGTTAAAAAGAAATGAGAGTTTATATATTCTAATCTTAATAATTGTAATACTAATTATTCCTCATTTGTACGTTGTCAAATAAATGTTATCTTTATCTTTTCAAAAAAAGCAGCTCCATAAAGCAGTTGAGATTTCTGAGCTATTTTGATGCGTCCAAGGTCCATGAGCTTGACTTTCAACCAATCTCGGAAACAGTCAGCTCTTCTGTTTATGCGAGTGAAGAGTTTGGGGAAGCCCGCAGCGCGTTTGTATATTCAGCGTCTCGTTTCATGAGCAGACGCCCTACTTATGGCATTGCAACCAAAGCAGAAAGGCAGGTTAGGCTGGGGTGCTTAGTGAAAAAAATTGCAGAATCCCTTGCTAAGGTTTTTGACTGCATTCACATACTAGTTTTTAATTTATACAAAAAAGAGGTGAAAAGGACATTTAATATATACTCTA